GGGCCGCTATGTGCGCAGGAGCCAAGCCGAGGCCCGCCTGCACCTCAACTACCTCAAGTCCCTGCCCTGCAAGCCACAGAGCCTGCAGGAGAAGGAGGAGGAGGAAGAGCCACTCAGCACCATCCTGTGATGCCCCATGGACACGACAGATCAGCGGTGGCACTGTCCTGTAGCAAACGAGCCCCGCGAGGGGTTGAAGCACCCACCTGGATCTCCACGCTCCAAAAAAAAGCACCTTAAATCTGCCGGCAGCTGGAGCTGGTTTGTACTCTCTTTTTTTTTTTTCTTTTCACTCCCATCCTTGGACTGGCTCTGTCCAGGCTGTGCCCAGCTCTCCCTGCAGCCCCGTTAAAGAGCTGGTTGCAGCCATCCTTTCCGGCTGGGTTAACGCAGCTGGCATCCCCTGGGTTGGGGATTCCCTGCCCTGCATCGGGGCTCGGCTATGGACGGGGGGGACGACGGTCCTGGGGGGGGTTTTTGCAGCGTGAGGGGATCGAAGCCATCCCATCCCAGCTGCTTCGTCTCCATGCCATGGGCTCAAAGGTCTCCAGCTGCTGGGCTGGAAGGGGGTTGTGATCATTTAGGGTGCAAAAATCCCTGCTGCGGAGGTTGGGGGGGTGGAACAGGGAGGTGGTGGGCAGCGAGCAGGGCCCCTCACTGTTCTTGTCATCTCTGTGCCCTGCAGTTTAGCAGAGCAATTACAGCATAATCCCAAGGATTAACCACACTGCCCCCAGATGCCCCTCTGCTAATCCCCGGTCAGCAAGGGGAGGGGGGGTTTGGCTGGCACAAGCACCCATCCACTGCCACTACCTCCCTGCAGCCCCTGGGCAAAGCAGAATGGGCCAAGGGAGTGAGTTTTGGGGGGGGGGCCATCCCCTCCCCAAGCTTTTGGGGCACTTTGGGTGGTTCTCATCCTCAAGCCAAAGCCTGGAGGTTGCAGTCACCACTGAGGACCCCCCTCAGCCCCTGGCTCCTGCCCTGGAAAAATAGGGCCACGGGTGCAGCAGGGGATTAACCCCTAAGCAAAGAGAGGTCCCAGCACCCACCCGAGCAGCACATCCTGCAGCACAGGACACATGCACACCAGCACTTAGGCAGTAGCTACATTAAAACAAAAACAGATTTAAGGCATCTGGCATCACGGTTGGTTGGTTGGTTTGTTTGTTTTTTATAATTAAGGCATGGAAAAGGGAAGGAAAGTCCTTGTTACTGCAAACTATTTTTGGTATTGTAAAGCAGTACCAGAGTCCTGGGAGCCAACAACAGACTGCGAGGCTTTGAGAACTCTTCCAGGCAGAAAACTGAACTCCCAGGGCAAGGAAAGAGCAACATGATGAGAAGAGGCATCAGGTAGAAAGAGTGATCTTTAATCTGTACAGTACCAGCCCCTTGCACGCTGCCCTCCTGTCCGATGTGTGCGGCTAACAGAGATGCCCTGTTTTGAACCTGAGGAGGCAGGCAAAGGCACCTGAGCCAAATAGCAGCTTCCTGGGCCTCCCTGCACACACCACATCCCTGCTGGGAGAAAGATGCAACTGCAGCCCAGCCCAGGGCAGCTATGGAAGGAGCGTCCCAGTCCTGGTTCACGAGGAAGATTGGAAAAGGCTGCTGGGGGACGCTGGTGCCCTGTCCAGGACCCATAGGTGCCGTTACAGCTCTGAGAACAAGGGCTGCTCCCGCACGCTGGCACTGGCCATGGCTGCGACAGGGCTGCGGCCAGGGCTGAAGCAGGGGATCTGGGCGCTCACGAAGAAGAAAGGGATGTGGCTGATCTTCCCCGTGGACCAGCACTGGAGGGGGAAGAGAACAGGAGCACGCAGATGGGTATGGGGCATCTCCACGCCACCCTCAGCTCTGTGGCCCCCACCCCCACATGTGGTAGGGGTCCCCAGGCTCAGCCTAGCATCACCCCCTCTCTCTGTAGTTGAGGCAATGACACCTTCCTCATCATCATCTGTTCATAGGGATATTGGGGGAAGGCTCTTCAGCCCCCTCCAGCCACTGGATTTAGCTCACTAAGGTACAGCAATGGGGAGCACAAGGGAAGCGGCTGGAAGAGAATCGCTCCCAGAGACAGGGCTGCACTCACCACAGTCAGGAGGGCGCCCTTCTTAAAGCAGGGGTGGAAAGCAAGGAGCTGAGGCTGTGCCCCCCGCTCACCTCGCAAGAAACCGCTGGAAGGAAAAGGAAAAGCTGCGGTTACAGAACGCTCCTGTCAGGGCCGATCCCCTCACAGCCACCCTACTGCTGCAGGCTGCTTCTGGCTCACTCCTGCAAAATATAGCTCTTCTGGGGCAGCCTGAGGTTAGCAGAGGGGTTTATGCCCCAAGGGATCTTCCTCTGCACCAAGCAGCAGGCAAGAGCAGCCAGAAGGAGAGGATTTTGAACTGGGTAACAGACAGTTTGTCCGAAACGTGACCATTTCTGGGGCAAAACACGGCACCCTGCCTGAGAAGCTTCCCAGCGTTCCCTTCTGCTGTGGGGAGGTGGCAGGGAAGAATGGACGCAGGTCCCAGCGGATTGCTGGTATTAACCAGCTACGACAGTACGGGGGACTTAAAACCTGCCAATACGCACCACGGCAGGAGCTCAAACACAGGGCTGTTGCGGGTGCGAAATACAGCGATGACTGTTGGGCTCTCAGGAACGTCAGGGTTTCCTGCAGGAGGGGAAGAGTTTCACAGGAACAGCTTGGGCTCCCACATTGGAGCCCAGTGCACAGAAGGGCCTGTTGACGGGAGACCCAGGACAGCGAGGTCATGTTTTTGTGGGGAGCAGCTGGAGGGAACTGGACGCTACGGAGACTGGGGCAGGCAGCCACAAAGGTTGGGGAAAAGCTGGCTTCAGACCTCCTTTTCCTCACACCAAGACCAGCAGTATCCAAGGAAGAGGCTTTCAAAGACACTTCAGTGAGTTAAAGGCTTTACTCCAAGAGCTTCGGGTAGGTGGATGTGGCGGAGAAGGGTTTGGGCAACAGATTCAGCAACTCCTTTGGAAATTCCCCAGCTTTGAAGGGCACAACGCTTGGAGGGCCCTATCTTCGACATCCTCAACAACGTTCTGCTCTAGCTCACAATAATGCTTTGAAGCCAAGCCTGGCTCACTGCTCCAAGATGTGAAGGCTATTTTCAGTCCCTCTCAGCCCCATGCAATTTTTGCACTGAGATCCAAGCAGGATGAGCAGAGGACAAGGTATTTCTAGCTACAGGAGTCGCAGAACCCCTTGTTTTTTCCCCTCACTTTCTTCCCCACCCAACTTTAAGCAAAACACTGGACTTTGCACAAAAATGAGTCTTGGGCCCAGCCACTGCTTCGGATGTCACCCAGCTGGTGGCTTGCAGGGAGGGAGTCTGAGACGAGCAGCACCCCCAGCACTGCGTTTCGGTCCTCTTTCAAAGGTCTGCTTTGTCTCAGAGGAGGGCTGGGGCCTGGCTGCAGCCAGGAGGGCCTGAATAGCTCGATTATCCCAGGGGCTGCTCCTAAAACAGAGCCAAGAGGCCCAGTCGGGCTCCAGGCCTAATGTGGGCACTGTGGGAACACGGAGACCTTGCAGGGTGGTTTGTAGAGGTGATTCATCCAACTGAAAGGGGGAAGGGAACTCATCCAATTCCCAAACTGCCACTTCCAAGGATATGGAGGAGCAGACACAGCCACCTAATGCGGAGGAGCAAAGAAAGCCTTGAGGAGGCAGGACAGAGCGTGGGTGCTGCCTTCCAGACCCAACTCCATCACCCTGCTAGGTTTCACACTCCTCCTGTCCACTGGAAGGGGGTTTTGTAGACAAAGCCAGTAAGTGAGAAAGAACCCACTTTGGGACAGGTGAGACAGGGTAGCCTCTCCCTTTTACCTCTGATGATCACTGCGAGTCTCTCACCGCTGGGGTCCCACACCATGGAGTGCACCTCTCCTCCGATCCTGAAACCGGCACAAGCAGCAGTGAGATCTCCTCCCCACAGCCCTCCACCTCCGGGAGGAGTTGTCGGAACAGGCGTCATGTGTTAGTCCTCACCTCTCCTCCCCATAGAGTGTCTCGAAGGTGGTCTCCGACAGGTCTGCCACAATAGAAGCCGTTTTCGATCCTCCCACTTGCCCTTGCATCTCCCCTGAAACCAAGTCCCAAGTCATTTCTTACAGTCTCCTGGTCAAGTTACTACGTTGGTGGTTGTACTGCCCAAAACTGCGCCTGTGTTTACAAAATGATACAGAACTTTTCTCTTCCTCAGAGTAGCTGAGGAGTAACCTGATCCTATCCCAGAAGCATCTATGTGCATTTCGGATGGATGGCAGGGGAGGCTTTCCCTCTACAAATATGGGGGGAAAAAAGCAAAGAGAGCCAAAAACTTCACTGCACTGTCAAAGTTTCCCTGCAAACTGTGACCATAAGGTCAAAACTCAGAGCAAGAGACAACAGGAGGGGGGAAAAAATTGATGTTACAGAGACACTGTGCTTTGGCCTATTCCCTTCCCCACCCCATAATGACAAAGCACCCAGGAAAGGCTCTGTGTTTGAGAGACTGCTAAGAATTTGCTGCTTTCACATCCTTCCCCCTGGGTGCTCTGGCTTTGCCTGGGTCATTTGACAGCCAGCAGGCTGCGAAACGCTCTTAATAAACAAAAAGCCTATAAGGCCTGAAACAGCCCTGGCTGAAAGCAAGACGATCGCTTAAGAACTAGCTCTCGGCTCTTGGAAAGCTTTGCCCCAGCTGTTTGCTCCAGCAGACTCACCCCTGTACTCCGAGAAGGACAAGGAGTAGATGACAGACTCCCCCAGCACCGTGAAGAGCAGTCGACTGCCATCAGGGCTCCAGCACCCTGTCTGCAGGACAGGGAGGCATGTTAAAAACAGCTAACAAAGCCAGGGATTTGGCAGCTTTCACTCCAGAGCACTTTGCAGGCTCTTGCAAGAGACTTTTCAGAGCAAGCTAGAAACGGGAGTTTCTTCCCCTCGTGGGTGGGAAATGCCCTTTTTCAGCTGACCCTGTCCTACCTGGCAGCGTCCTTTGATAGTAGGCCACCTCTCACAGGTCCACATCTGAGCCTCCCACACTCTGGAAGAGAGGCAGGGCCAAAGTGAGTGAGACAGACTGGAAAGGGTAGAAAGACAGTTCAACTCGGGTCAGACACATCAGGATTTGCGTCAGTTCTTTTTCTCTGAGAGGAGCTCAAGACATCAGACCTGACTAACCACCAATTTTACTTCTCTCCCGAGACACAGGTAGGAACGAGAGCAGTCTGGGACACGCACAAGCCAGATCCACCTTGCTTGAAGACATTAATAGCAGCAAGGACAGGCTGGGAGCTCACCTAAACACAGCTGAAGGAGTGGCCGCAAGGACCTTGCTGCCGTCTGGTGACCAAGCCAAGTAAGTGACTCCGCCGCCGCCAAACCACTGCAGTTGGACACAGTTTTCAGTGGACACATCCCACACCTAGAGGAGGGGACACCAGAGGCTGGAGGATAACTGGGTGCTACACAGGCCCCTGCACGATCCAGCGCCCTTGAGGAAGGCTCCTGCTACAGGAAGCACGTCTCAGATGTCAGCCAGAGTCAAAACATGCCACTAATGTAACTAAACACTAATGTAAATACTACTAATGCAAACACTAATGTAAATAAATCAGCAGCAGCCTGATTAGACCATTCTCGGAGGAAATGCCCCCTGCCCCAGCAGTAAGAGCTGCAGATGAAATCACGCACCCGAACCATTTCTAGATGACTCAACGGAGGATTCAGCAAGTCCTGGTACCCCAAATACACCACCCCAGAAGGGGCTGCACAGTCCCCCTTACTCACCAACATGGCTGTGTCAACTGGCGAAGCCGAAAGCAACAACTCCCCGCTGGGGGCCCAGGCGAGGCTGGTGACAGGGCTGTGCCCAGGGTAGGAAAGCACCTGGGCGCAGCCGGACGAGGGCCTGGAAGGAAGGAGAGGTGGCTTTCCTCATATGGTGCAGACTGCTGTGGCTGATCCCAGGAGGAAGAGGCTCCCGGTGACGCACCACGCTACGGCCAGGTTTGTGTCCCTCAGCAGGATCGACGCCTACCTGGCCTTGACTCAAAGCCAGCCCCGAGGCGGAAAGACCAGGCTGCGACACAGGCAGGACAGGGGAGAGACATGCAGCTCTCCGCATTGCTGCTCACCTGGTGGAGAGGGAGGTGGGGTCCAGGTGCCACACCAGGACACAGCTCTGGCAGGCCACGGCGAGGATGGAGGCGCACAGCGGCTTCCAGGCCATGGCAGCCACGTTCCTCTGCAAGCGATGCTTCAGGGTGGGGATGGTAGCACTGCGGGAGAAGAGGGAACATTGACCAGAGCCAGAGAATCAGGGAGATCAAAGTCCTCCTGCCGCCCAGGGCCAGTCACCGTCCAGCTCCCAGCATCCTCTATCCAGCACCGACTGCAGTGGAGGCCTAAAAGCGTAGGGTGAGGGGGCAGTGACCTATTTCTTTTGGTGGGGGGACAGGGGAGACCCCAGCCAGGTGACACCTGCACTACTCAGTGAGCCAAAGGGATGGCCGCACACCTCACGTCATTAAGCGGCATGCCCTGTGCTGCCCACGGGCTAGTCCCAGGGTGAGATATGGCACTTGCTGGCTTGAAATCCCAGCTGGGGGAGAAAGCCCCAGCAGGGAAAAGCTGGGAGGGTTTCAGAACGAGCCGGGTGAGTCTTCTTTTAAGGAGGGCTTTATATGTCTGCTGAGCCTCGCCCAGGGAGCAGGGAGACCTGGAGGAGAAACAAGATTCAATGATGCCCAAGAGGGGAAGAGAACATCCCAGCTGTAAGAGCCTCTTGCTGTGAGCTGCTCTGCCTGCTGACTGCAGCTAAGCTATGGGTGCTACAGCAGCCCACCCTCCTGGGCTACTTACAGAGCCACAGAGCGGGGAGGGAAAGAAAAGAAAACCAAGGCTCAAATAAGAGCAGAGATCTTAGGAAACATCCTAGCAGAGCTGCTGCCGCACAGCAAGTAATTCTGGGGATAGCTACTGCTGATGAGAGCAGAGTCTGTCTGCGGACACTATGGCAGGAACCCTTATATGTGCTAAAGGTGGATTTGAAAGGGCAAAACCAGGAAGGAACCCTTATATGTGCTAGAGGTGGATTTGAAAGGGCAAAACCAGGAAGAGATGCAGAACTAGGGTCTGCAAAAGCGGAGACACTTCCCTGAGGAGCAGAGCTTTGCAGGGAAGCCACCATGCCCTAGAGAGAGAGAGGCACCAGTCACAGAAGTCAGGGCTGCAGGGCTTCATGCAGCCTGCAGGAACCCAGCCTGGCTCCAGAGCTAGAGAAAGAGCTGGTGGAGAATCAGAGGGAGCAAACAACCCTAAACACCCGCAGACATAGGGATTCCTGAACCCGGATTGCTGGGGGGAGGGGGGGGTCCAAACCCAACAGAGCCTGGCCCAGCCAGCAGGCAGGGTCCCCCAGGTAGGAAATGGCAAGTCCAGGACACAGCAAGAGGTTCAGCTCTTGGCTCTTTTTCCAGGTGTTCCCATAACTGTCAGTGGAGCACAGAGCTGGGCCATTCACCCTCATCCAAAGCAGCTTTCGTGAGGCTTCATAACCACAGGGCATTCCCAGGCACGCGTGACACAGGGCCTCAGACCCCTGCCAAAAGCATCTAGACCTTCCACCGTCCCTGCTCGGCAGCTATAGCACGCGGTGGGGAACAGCCCAACCCCCCTTACCTGTTTGCGTTGTAGACACGAATGGAGTCGTCCAGAAGAGCCACTGCAAACTTGCTGGTGTGGGGATGCCAGGCGAAGGCTCGGATGGTACAGCCGGCCCTGGCAGGAGGGATGGAGCAGGGTGAGACACACCAGGCAGCAGACAAGGGCTTCTGGCTGAAGACAGCAGTGACAAGCTCCAAAGCACGAGTCGTGACCCACCTCCTTCACTCCCAGCAGCCCTCCAAGGCTGATAAAGATTTGGCAGTTCGGCTTGCCAGGGAGGAGAGGGAGGAAACAGTTTTCAGACAAGGCTGAGCAGGGGTGCTAACGTCACCAGAGCAATTTGTGTCAGAGCAACCCCTCCTCTCCCTGACGCAGAGTCATCAGTGAAATAAAACTCCCCTTTCACTGCTGAGCAAAACACTTTTCTCTGAAAAATTGCCTGTTCCTGGCAATTATTTACACGGGTCTGCAAAGCACTGACTTAGCAAACAATCAATGGTCACTGTTTGAAGAAAACATCCGAGCTTAAGCCATGGAAAGAGCAAAAAGCCCTGATGTAGTCTAATGCCGTTTCTTCCATGGCATTGGGGCCACCTGCTTTGCCTCTCTGTGTTGTCACACAAAAAGTCGGGTAACCACAGGCAGGCAAAGGGGAAGTATTTGCCTGGACGTTCCCTTCCTGGGGAGGCAGAGCACAACACACCATCAGGCGCTTCTATCATCGCTTGTGTACCTACAGGCCCTTTGATCAGCTCTATAAACCCCATTTTGCAGGTGTAGAGGTGAGGCCCAGAGAGACTCAGAGTCCTGTTGAGTGTAGATCTGGCTCGGGCCTCTGAAACCACAGCTGCTGTGGGCCCCCGGGTCACAGACACAGGCGCAGCACAGCAGTGGCTCAACGTGCAGGACTTACCAGTCCACTGTTTGGGAGAACTCTGCAATCATGTCTTCACTGGTTAGCTTTGGGGAAGAGGACAGACGGGAATAAGAGTTAATGCTGATCTGGCAACGCGCACACAACGAAAACGAGAGCTGCCTCCGGTACGGAGTCAGGAGCCTTGCCCCTTCCTTCTCACCCCACCTCGAGTTTTGAGCCCTCAGGAGCACTTTGCTGTATTAGCTTTTCTGCACCCCATTCTCCCCATCTTTGACAAAGAAAACTCAAGTGTTTCAGTGGTTTTAGCTAGGCAGAATATTTTGCTGTATTTTCAGGTGGGAGCCACCTACCCATAATCCAGACCATCAGGGCCAAGGTCATAGGACGTGCCATGCAATGCCTGCCTTCCACCATTGATACCTAAGGACAGGGTTAACGCCCCAAAAAACTCACCGACAAGTGGGGGAACAGGGAGCCGTGAAGAGAGGACACCCAGTGGCACAAGGCCAAGGCATAGCGTGATCCTGTCTTCACCCACTGCAGAGCTGGAGAGAAAAAGGATTGTCAGTGCTTCTGCGATCTTCCAAGCCAGGGCCAAAGAGCAGAGGAAGCAGAGTCAGCTCCTAAAGGCCAGCGAGGATCAACAGAGACATGCGTGTGGCGTGATTTGATTTAACAAAACCAAGACAGTGAATTTATAACCCAGGTCCCCGAATCTCAGTGAGACAGTGGCTCTAGCAGCTTCGATAAGTCGGTGTGGGCAAAGCCACACCTTAAATCTTATCGTAACATCCACCTCTCCCTGCTCCGGCACGGCCCTCCCCAGCACCTTCCTCACTAGGCGGTACAGAAAGCGTCACTAGGCCGAGGAAGGAAAGGGAACAAAGGGATCAAAGCAAGAGCTGGAGAGATCCAGGAAAAAAAGTCTCCAGGTCCTCTGAGAGCAGCCCAGACTCACCCTCCTCCTCTGCGTTTGCCACCTCATTAAGCACCCCGCACACTCCCACGTCCCGCCTGCAACAGAAAGCTTGGTGAGTCTCTCTCCTTCCTGCAGGGAAAGGAGATGTGGAGGGGCTGGACATCAGGCAGAGAGACAGGGCCTTGAGTGCTTTCCGGGGCTGCAGGTAACCTCTCTCTAGCCTCACCCCTGCTGACAGCTGTTCCTCATCATCTTTACATCCTCCCTCACCTGACAGTGAGCCCTGGAGCCCCCAAACCCACTCTTCCCTCAGCTGCAGGTGTTTGTCTGCTAGTCACAACCAGAGGCCAAACGTGCTGGAATTGCCAGCCTGGCTCCCCAGCTGCACTGAGCTCACTGCTATATTATGACCCACTTCGAGCTCTCCAAGAGCCCCAGATAGCTCAGGTGGGAGCACTCTGCCCAGCATCAGAAAGGCCTGGGAGAGGGGAGATACTTTCCCACTGCTTGGGAGTGAGCAAGAAGGGGCAGCAAGGCCTCCACTGCGCTCCTGGGTCGAGAGGCTCTAGGCCAGGGAACAAAAGCAGGTTTTGTTCAGCTCTTAGCAGGGCTTGGCGCTGCTGAGGCTATCAAACAAGCAATCACCTCCTGGCTTTCCCTCCCACACTCACCAGGCATTGATGCACCTCTTCCAGAGGGACTCGCGGTGGTGGATGAAGGCAGGCTTGGTACTGTGCTCCAGCCGGCTGTGAGCCTTCAGGGCTTCCTTGGGCAGGCTGAGAACAGGCAGATCCGCCAGCTACAAGCACAGGCATCGAGCAGTGAGCGAAGCATCTGAGCTCTGGGAGCCTCAGGGGCAGCTGAGCGAAGGACTCCCAGAGCAGAACAGGCGCTGCTGGGTGCTCAGCAAATGCAGAGCAGGGAGGCAGCCCCAAGCCAAGGAAGTAAATATAGACATGAGAAAAGGAGAGGTGCAGAGTTGGGGGGGAGGATAGAGAACTACCACAGGCCTGAGCCTGCCTCCCTGAGGGATGGGGTAACCTTTGGTGGGGAGGCAAGGAGGAGAAGCATGGCTGTCAGAAACAGGAGAAAGCAAGTGCCCTGTGACTTGGGGTAAGCAGTGCGCTCTGCTGTCCCAGCACTAAACCAGCACACGCACACCCCAGGGCAGTGCAACGCAACCGGCCTCTCCACAGACCTCACTCGCTGAGGCTGGTAGAAGAAAAAGGGGGCAGCCTGCCCCTTTTCTGCACCTCTGACTCCCCTCACTAGGGGGTGGAGCCCAAGCTGCAGCACAGGGGGGCTGGGTGGGAGTCGCCACCATGCCAGGAAGCACTCACCTGGCTCTGGAAAGCAAGGGGCAGCTTTTCATAGAGGTGGCCGCAGACCAAGGCGTTATTGAACTCGTAGAGGGTGACATCTCCGGGAGGCGGTGGAGGTGGGAACAGGCCTAAGGAGCACATC